CTTCCACCCCCGGCACACACACACACATACACACCCGCACACACACCCCATTGATCAATATTTGGCTGTCTTGCTGCAACTTGCTGCAGTCTTTTAAAGGAGTAGTAGGGAGCGAGGGAGAGAGAAAGGGAACTGACAGGAAGGGGTAAGGAGCTACACATGTCACATGTGCTTTCTAAGACGGCCAGGAGCATCTGCAGGCTGGATCTGGTGGAGGATGCTGCGGCAGGGGATACACAGAGGGCTCCAGTCGTTTTTCTACAAGCTGGGCTTATTCGTGAGCAGGCATCCGGTGTTTTTCCTCACTGTGCCCGCAGTCCTGACCATCATCTTCGGCTTCAGCCTGCTCAACCGCTTCCAGCCTGACACTGACCTGGAGAGCCTGGTAGCCCCCAGCCACAGCCTGGCCAAGATCGAGAGGAGCTTAGCCAGCAGCCTTTTCTCCCTCGATCAATCCAAAAGCCAACTGTATTCGGACTTGCACACCCCGGGGAGGTATGGCAGGGTGATTCTCCTCTCCAAACCCGGAGGCAATATTTTGCATCAGGCTGATGTGATCCTGCAGATCCACCGAGCCGTGCTGGAAATGAAGGTGAACTACAAAGGCTATAATTATACTTTTTCCCATCTGTGTGTGTTGAGAAATCAGGATAAGAAATGCGTGCTGGATGATATTATTTCAGTGCTAGAGGATCTGAGGCAGGCTGCCCTCTCCAATAAGACAACAGCCAGGGTGCAAGTGAGCTATCCCAACACTAAATTAAAGGTATGCTCTTACTGCATGCTTTTGCCAATTAAAGAGGCAGCACTTCATTTCTTGTCCTAAACAGCAAAGAGAACTATAATAATATATATCTCTCTGTGTGTAAATGTGTGTGTTCTGGGCTTTCCTCGGGAAGCAGCTGAAAGTGGTGCCTTGCTATTGTTCTGTGCGAGGAGGGCGGTGGGGGACGGGACGGTACAGTACGGTACGCTAAGGAGAAGCAGGGAGTGGAGGACAGCCTGGGGAGCGGGAGAACTTGCAATGCCTTGAAGGGGTAGTACACTGGGGAAAAGGAACAGGAGGTCGGGGGGGGTGTTGAGAGGTGGGGGTTTCACTGTCACCTTTTCCAGCCCCACTACTGTGATGGAATAATTTAGCTTTAATATGGCCAGAAAAGTCTTTCCTCAAATGCACAGTGAGCTCCTGCATCTCCCTGGCTCTGCAAGTGCTGTAGGGGTGGCAGGAGGTTTGGGTCAGGAGCAATTTCAGGTGTCCTGCCTTCTTTTTCTTTACCTGCATGCAAGGAAGGGGAAGGGAGGTGGAATTTTTTCCTCTCAGCGTGAAAATAATTAACTCTGCCAGTGATGGATGGGCTGGAGTTTTGGGATGGATCTCATCAGCTAGAGGCTTCCAGCAAAGGTGAAACAAGGTAAAAGGTGAAAGAAGTTTCAGTTCTTCCAATTAAAAGAATAAACAACTCAGCACAAATGATCGCAGTAATATTTCCCTGGCAGACAAACTCACATCTGCTCTCTCTCTCATCTGGAGCAATCCAGCTGACCAGGACTAACCTGCTATGAGCAAATAAGTTGCAAAGTTTGAAGGTGGCCACTGAAAGAAGTTTCTGCAAATTACGGTATATCTGCATGCTCCCTTAGGCATTGCACCAGAGGCAGGATTTATTTAATAGAGTAACAAACTCCCTAGCTCACCAGTTACTCATAGCTCAGGTCATAGGGAAGAGGATGTGGTCCTTCTTGTCAACCAGAGAGGCTCTCTGGGCTCACCTGTACCTCAGGGATGAGGCAGGTACTGCTCTTGCAAGCGTTGACCAGATCCTGAAGTTATCATTTGTTTCTTACTGTTCATTTACCAGGAAAAAGAAAAGTAAAGCCAGTCTCTGCCCCAAAAAACTGAAGCAGAGATATAGATTGATTTTATTGGTCTTTTTGCTTCAGTAAAAGGGCCAGGTGGGACAGTTGGGATTGGGTCACATTGCTGTAGGCATTACAGTAATTGCTCTGTGCAAAGTTGTAGCTGTTTGACTTGAGTGTGTGACAATGAGAAGGTGTCCTTGCTGCTACTGGAAAGTCCTGAGTGCAAGGAGTGCTAGGAAACACGAGTTATTCTGGGTTAAATATCCCTGAACAAATTTTCTCTTTTAGTTTGCTGTGAAGACAATCCAGCTATTGCAGAATTAAAGTGCTTTTTTTTTCCATTTTGCTTATTTTTAAAGTCAAGATAGAGCTAGTTTCATGGAGAACACTGATAATCTAGACTAACATAATTACGATCTTTATACAGATACAGTCATTCTACTCTCTTAATTCAGATTAATTTTCTTGTGTAATGAAACTTTAACTGAGCTTGGCAAAACTAGGATGGGGTCATTTCCAATGTGTTCTTTTACTAGGAGAGTGCCTGCAGCTCCTCCTTTTTTAATGATAAAAGCAAAGGTAAAAATAATGTGGTCTGGATTAGTAATTTGTTGGTATAAAAGTGATAGGTAGATAATTCACACAGAGAAGGGTTTTCCCAAAGCATTGATGTCTGACTCTGAGCACTACCGAATACCAGCCTGGCACCTCCAATCCCCCAGTAGTTGTCTACCATCTTCAGGATGAAGGAATAAACCCTTAAGTCCCTAGGTTTAAAGTTGGACAGAGCAGGCAGCTTTCTACCCACTTCTCAGTGAAAGGAGCTAAAGCCGCCCAAATCTGTGACTGTGCTTTGGAGAAAAGTGAACGATTACAACCCACTTCTGTGGGCAGGGAGAGTCCCTGGTGCTGCTGAGAGTGAGACACATGCTTTGCCATAGTTTCTCCCTTTCTGGTACTGTAAGGACTCTGTTGTGGGACTGTGGTCAGCCCTGAACCTGGACTGTCCTTCAGCTATAGCATATCCTCAGGGTCTCACCTCCTCTGATCTCTTTGGCTCCAGCTGGGAATAAATTACTATTTCCTACAGATTTATTCAATAGGTGAGACCCCTCTCTGTCTTCTCTGTTGTCCCACCTATCAAGCTACAAGTTTAGGAAGTTGTGGGCAAACATCTCTTGGTCTCTTTAAAGCCAGGGCCAAAACATTGATTTAATATAAGTTATTTACTGACCCCCCCTCTCTCTCCACCTCTGAGCAAAGACTGTAGAAAACCAGGCTTGTGTGGCTTGTTTTGGGGTGTCTGGATGTGTTTAACCAGAAATACCTTGGATGTTGCACCCACTAAGGTGAATCAGTCTTTGGATACCCAGCAGAGCGAACAACCCATGTGGTTGTAACTGTGAGGTTTTTTATTTCTTTTCACTTGAGTCCTGATATTAAGGAGGAGTTGTCGCCAGCCCTCATGGAAATGCAAGCAAGAGGTCCAAATCTACCTGCCCTTATTCAGTGCGGACCGGCATTCATGATGATCACAGGTCTATGTCCTTGGGAGCTTTCTCAGTTAAATTTTCCTGCACCGTAAGGAGCCACCAGGAGCTTCTAGGTTGCCTCACTTTCTCGAAGGACACATTGCTTGCTTAATACTGGTAGATTTTCCTGTCTTGTTCTTGTAATAACGGCCTCAAACTGAATACAATTTTTCTAAGAGCAGTACAGTAGGTTTACAAACCGTGAAGGTGTCCCAGATGTGTTTATTCTGTAGCTGACATGGCTCAAGTGTCAACCTGTACTGGTTTGGGAGCCGCAATGACAAGGTTGAGCTGTTCCAACCCCTCTCCTGCTCCATATGGGAACTGCAAAAGCATCTTGTAGTTTCTTTCTTTCCCTCGAGCCTTGTGAGCAGCTCTCACTTTGTCCCTCTGTATCTCCTGATGAAGCCCAAATTGGTTTGCCTCTCTCAGGTGAGGCTGGCTGAGGGCTGGCTGTGGGTGGGCTCTTGCCAAGTCTTTCACGGGAGCTTTCTGGGAGCTGTACGAGCAGGTTTCAGCAAACTGCGCTGGTTTGGAAACAGCTGTTATAAGGCTGCAAAATCTAATGAAACGGCCTGACTTTTCCTAAGAAAATCTGGCTGTGAAGGGTAATGATTGTTTAATCGTTACTTACTGTAGTGTTGGAAGAGCTTATAGCCTTGAATACATCTGTCTTCACTGCAAGTTGGGAAGTTTTGGTCTCCACTCGCCTGAGGAGGAGCAGAAAGACGGCACTTATGTCCAGAGTGCGGACTGCAGTGTCATTTCAAGCACCTGAGGTGGGTTTAAAATCCACTCTGACAACACAAGGCTCGTTGTAGGATGCTTCTGAAAGGTCAGGTGAACCAGGCTGTATGAAAATGCCTGCTCCCATTGCTTTGGGGATCCTTCACGGTTGTCGCTGTGCTACGCTGCAGTCTGCAGCCCAGCCAGAGGAGTGACTTGCCCAAGGTCATGCAGACAGACCGTAGCGGAGCAGGAAAACAAAGCTGGATGCATGAAGTCTTGATGAAGACTTTTGAGTTACATCCTGGAGCAAGATTGCTCAGGCTTTCCCCAGCCCAGGACAGAAAAATCCCTGTTTCTGTGCCCTAACCACACATACTGAGCAAGCCTACACTAAGCACTGGCCCTCAGACACCAAACTGTTAAATCACAAGTTTTAACAAAAGCCAGCATCATTTTTGTCAAGTAAGACTTCCAGGACAGTGCCTGGGCATGACTTGGGATATAGCATGGGTAAGGGTCCATTCCTGGTTGGTATCTACTGCATTCTGGAGATAAACATGTATATCTACTTGGATATGCTGTGCCTCTGCCTCCAGGGCCAGAGCATGATCCGAGGCACATTTTATTTATTGGTATAAACAAAATTATTGATTACATGGGAATTACTTCTTGTGTACTATCAGCTATGAAGAAGGAGATTGGTTTTTGACCCTGATTTGCTATAACCCCAGCAAATTTGCTGTCCTTACCAGGAAAAGAGAAAAAAAAATCCCTACAAAGCATGAAAATTATTTCTGAACAGAGTTCTAACCTGAGGGGAAAAAAAACAACCCATAAAAGCTTTTTTTTTTCAACGTATTTCACCTTTACTGTTTCTTTTGCTAGTTTGTCTGAGAAAAGTTAATAACTTAGAACTTATCTCTCTGAGATCAGAACGATTATGACAACTACTAGTTAAAAGAAGCCTTTGTAAGCAGATTGGGTTTTGTAATACTGTCTTCAATTAAGTATCAGTCATTTATGAACAGTAGGCTAAACAGCAGCCAATAAAACAGACATCTCTATTACCGCATTTGTGATAAGCACGTCAGCTGGATATTGCATCCTTTATTGCTTAAGTAGAAAAGTTACTTGCATTCACTTAGCATCTTGAGACCTGTAATTGCAGATCTGCTACTGGCCAGATTTTCAATTTTTCTCACACTAACAGTTATACTTTTAAATAAGTTTTGCTCCATTTACATTCATGGAGACTTTCCCATTACTTTAAGATTAATTCCTCCTTATATGACCCTGAGGAAGCAACCACTTCTGTGAGACAGAGAGGATGTAAGACCAGAGCCCATCTGCACCACAGTAGGCATCTGCAAATCAATAATATACAATATAAAGAATATTTACTCCTTCAATAAAACTGATTCAAGTATAAGATCACATTGATTCCAAAGACCAGATGCTTCCTTGGAGGTTGTGTGTCTCTGTACCCATTTGTGATACCACCTGTCCCAACCCATGGTCCTGTGAAGTGCTCTGTGGCTGGCAAAAGCTGCTGAGTCAAACTGAAGTAATAAAACATGAGCAGGGAGAAGATCAGAAGAGGAAGGTTAGAGGCTGAGGCTGGAGGCTGCAGATAGTTTTCATCTCA